GTGGGGATGAGGGGCTCGGAGGAAGTCTCTTCCTCCTGGTCAATATTGCTGTGAGCATAAACCTTCTCTTAAAAAAAACTTTAAAAGGGCAGGTAAACACTGGAAAGGTAATTCAGGGTGGGAGCCAGCTGGTAGGAAAGTGAGTGAGAGAGAAAATGGGGTTAAGTAGGTGAGTGGCAAGCACAAGAATTGGAGGATTGATATCTGATTTAATAAGCGACAGATTTCTTCGCACCTCTCCACCTGCAGATGGGACCTTTAGCCACCTGCTATAAATGGCAATAATGTAAAAGAAAATTAGAGAAAAATAAACAATACTGACCCTTACTGCTTTTATTTTCCTATTTGGATGTAGGGAAACATCCTCTCTCATTCTGCAGACAGATGCTCATCCCCAGAGCTGAATATTAGGATTACTGTGAAACTGATCTATTTGTGGCACCACGAAAGACAGCTCATAGTCTATTCCAGAACAGTCACGGATCGCTGAGTGATGCTGCTGTCAGCAATGTCCGATTGACGATGGTGGTCCCCATGGGCTCTGCCGTGGAGCTTGGGTATGTAAGGCGGGACCATCTAGGATCGTGTAAGGACACTTTATGATGTTCCCATTATGATGGATTCGCCAAACCATGCATTTTTCACAACATATCGCTGTAGTTAAACATACATGACTGTCATTGCCACGAATAAAGAATTCCACTGTCTGAAGGGGCATTTTGATGGAGAAAGAAGACATTGCAGTCCACGCTATGGCCTGCAGGGATGGGCTGGGGGCACTAACACTCTTGCCTGTGTGAATCTGCTCAGAATGCCCCTGCCTAGAGTCCCTCTCAGCTCTTCTCTGCTTATCTACATCCCGACAGGCATTGGACAATCCTATCTCTTCCATTCAACCTTTCCTTTTATTGGTCTTCAAAATTTTGTCTAGTGCACATCAGAATCATTTTGTTTGCGGGGGTGGGGGGTGTGAAAAAGGGACTGGAGGACTTGTTAAAAATCCTGTTTCCTGGGGATCTATGGACAGAGATTTTGATATAGCAATTTGGGTGTGAGGCCCAGGGACTTCTGAGGCAAGGAATCCTCTGACCACAGATGGAGAAACCCATGTTGGGATGCTTTATGACTTTGTATCACTCTGTGCCATGTGGCTGATGCTGTTAGGTCTGTCCTGTCTTACCAAAGATGCCTGGGTGCCAAGAACAAAGTGTTGCAGACAAATTAAGCCTGACAACTAAGCTACAGAGATTCCTTTTTCTGGTCTTTACTTTTTCAGTTTCACTGCAGTAAAACTGACAAGAAAAAAACTGTATATATTTAAGGTATACAACTCGATGTTTTGCTATACACTGTGCAGTGATCCCCATGATCAAGCTAATAACCTTAAGCATTACCTCAGTGGTTACTATTTCCCTTTATTCTTGTTTTTTATTTTTTAATTCCTTCTGGCATATACTATCAAGTCACAATGAACAAAGAACATCAATGAGAAGAGTATTTGAAAAATAATTAATAAAAAAGCAATTTTTTTCAATGATGAGAGGAGTTTAACAAATGGCAGTGAGTTTTGAGGACAATGAAGGAATCAAGGTCAGGGCAGCAAAAGTCTTCTCTGGGCAGCCATGTCCCTAAAAGGTGCTAAATTCCCATTCAACCGGCAGAGGCCACACCTCAGTTAGACGCCTTAAACAGGCCTCACGGCAGGTGAAGGTCTGGGCTCAATGTCAAAAGCCACCAGAATTGCACTAAGTCCTGAATGGCCTTTCTAGGGGCACAGTCCCTTGGAAACTTGAACAAGGGGATAGAATGGCCATCAATTATCCTTCTCATGTTCACAAGATATGACAGTTAATTCTATGTGTCAATTTGACTGGGTCACAAGGTGCCCAAGTAAACATTATTTCTGGGGGTGTCTGTGAGGGCATGCCCAAGTGAGGTGAGCTGTTTAATCGGTAGCCTGTGTAAAGCGGAGTGGCCTTCCCAACGTAGGTGGATGGCATACAACGTCTTGAACGCCTGAATAGAACAAAGAGGTAGAGGAAAGGCTGCCTGACTGTTTGATGTGGGACATCAGCCTTCTCCTATCAGCAGGCTGGAACTTATACGACTGGTTCTCCTGGTTCTCAGGTCTTTGCACTCAAACTGAACCATGCCCCCACCTGTCCCAGCATTCCAGCTTGCGGGTGACAGATCACAGGATCGCTCGGCCTCACAAGAGTCAACTCCTTACAGCATATCTCTTTTTACATGTCCTATTGGTTCTGTTTCTCTGGAGTACGCTGACTAAGACACAAGACCAAACCAAAGAGAACATTTGGACTAGAAATCACTCACTGAATGGATTGAGAGTAAGAACAGATCTAGTCAGAAACAATTATTGTTAGGGTGTGAGGATTCAAAAGCTCCATGGAGAAATAATGAATGCATAGTTCCTGCTTTTATTTAAATACGCACACACACATAACCATGTGTGTATATATATGTTACATATATATATATGCAACTCTAAGCTCAAGCTCACAAGATGCATATATATTTATATCATAGGTATATATTTGCATATATTTGCATATATGTATATATATGCAAATACATACGTACCTACCTTAAAGAAAGCATAAGATTCAACAACACGCTAACTGTGGTCTTCTCAGGGGAGTGGGATTACAGGTGGTATTCATTTCTTGTTCATACTTTTTTCTGCATTGTCTGACTCCTTAAAAAGTTATTTATATAGTCAGTCATGTAATCAGAAAAAAAAAATTTTTTTTTAAAGTAGAGCAAATGGGCCTCCCTGGTGGTGCAGCAGGTTGAGCGCTGCGCTGTGAAGCTGTCCGCAGCCTCTGCAGTGCGGGTTCGATTCCCGGCCGGCCAGGGAGAAACCCACATGGCGTGGCAGACCTCTCCTGCCTGTCTGCCTGTTCTGCTCCCCGCTCTGTCTCTGATGAATTCTCTCACCCTTCCGCACCTCTGACCTGTACCCCAGTTCTTGTATAAAAAAATAAAATCTTAAAAAAAAACAAAATTTAAAAAAAAATAGAGTAATAAGTCATTAGTACTCTTACAAAAGTAGCAACAGAAAAGGCCCATAATGAATGACTCTTAGAGAGAAGAAGAGTTAATATAAGATCAGGATAGTTTCAACTTTAGTTCCCAGGTCTCCAAATACTTGAGTGGACGAGAATGTCTTAATTTGCATAAGGTATTCAACAAAAATTGGGAGGACAATTGGAACACTCAGAACATATTTTGAATTGTGGCTCAAATTTTGTCTAAGATATTCAAATTAAAAAAAAATGTGGATTAAAAACCCACAACTAACTCAAATTATTTCACAACCACATCAGGTTGCAACAATATGTCCAACTGGGCTCAATAATGAGCAATATTCATATCGCAACTTTATAGCTCCTTCACAGGCCATCATGGTCTCCCCAAGACTTTCTTTTTCTTTAAGTTTGAGGTGTGGACAAATATATCAAAATGTTCAGCTGGATGAAGACAGACAGACAGATAGATATATCCGATAGATAGAATAATGATAACTGATAAACAATTTTTATTACCCAACCAGTTAACTTTTAGGAATCTACCTTACAAATCCTTACACCCTTCGCCAATGTTATGTGTATAAGAAGAAAACAATGCAGAATTGTTTATAATAGCAAAGAAGTAGGAACAATACACATAACTCCAGTAGGAGGTGGGTAATACACACTGCAGTGCATGTCCAGAATTTACAGAGAGAGTTTACGTAAGGCTCATAAGAAGCACAGAGGATAATATGCCTTGAATAATACCTACAATATTTTAAATTGGGAGGATCAGCAGAGACAGAGACCCAAAGCAGAGCAATGGTTTATTCCAGGTCACAGGGAGAAGAAGATCCACAGGTAACATTTCTAACCATCATTTAACTGTGTCCTTTTTTTTTTTTTTTTTAAACAATTAGAGCATTGGCAATCTCGCCCAGGAGCTAAAAGAAGTGATCAGGGAGGAAAGGAATGGGAGTGGAGGGGTAATATATTTTAACCTCAGAAATAAAAGAGAAAAAGTAGTAGCAAAATTATTGTCCATGTTACCTAGGAAGTCCCTTCTTTGGCTTTTCATAGCAGCTACTACTCATTGTCATTATTATGGAGCAAATTCATTGAAGAGTGAAATTTAATTTTAAAACCAAATGTATAGAAATGTTCAAAAGCTGCTTGTTCATGCACAAAATGAAAGAAGCATGCAGTACAAAGCATACCGAAGCTAGGATGAAAACTGAAACTATATTTCAGCAGAGGTAGCAGAAGACACTGGGGCTACCATACAGGGAAACTTAGAGTATGATGACTTGACCTTTTCATTAGTGAGTGGGCCAAGTCCAGAAAGGAGACATAACAAAAAACAGACAGTAGATTATGGAGAATGATATGATTTCTTTTTCAAGCAGGAACTTATTTTGAGTATTGCACATACCCTATTTATAGCTAATATATTTTGACATATCTGTGTTTAAGCCAGAACCATTTCATTCCTTCCTCTGTGCCAAAAGGCAGTGTTCCCTTTGGGTTCTCCTCAAGAACAGGGTTGATATCATAATGGATTGACTGGTTCTAAAAACAAAACCACAGTATGCAATCACTTACAACAGTGCATTGGGGGAACTTGGGAATCCTAAATATGTAGTAAGGCTATATCTAACTCCTGGATTTTCCCTGTATGCCTACATATTAACCAATTTCTCTTTCACCACTATTTAATAAGCATTACTCTGAATCTTTGTGCTACTTAGGAATTTTTCAGCATGGTGGGTATAAAACTTGTAGACATCCAAAAGAGAGACACAAATAGAAGAGCTTTGTTGTAATGCAGCTGACATTAGACCCTTGCAGTGCAGCTTTATCCAGTCTTCCATTTGGATCATCTTAATTCATCAGTGGTTGAACAACGGAAAAGATTCCATACAGGGAGTTAAAAAAACAACAACTGTTGTTCATCATCTGAATACTCACCACAGTATAATAATTCTTGGTAAGTGGAACAGTTTCAAATCCTTTGACAGCCTTGGGGGAGAGAGGTCTTTCTGTGAAAAAAGACATTCAAATTATGTTAATATTATGCAAGTCTAAGGTGAACACTTATAGCATAGGTCACTTAACAATAAATATTGCCAAGTGGATGGATCAATGGAAATGTACATTCCTAAACAAGTGAAGTTACAACTTTACTAAGTATAGATGCTCCAAGTTAGATCTTGCCCAGGCCCCTCCATTTCTGGGGAGAAAAATAAGCCAAGAAATTAAGGCCTCGCTAATTAATGGCAGGGCCAGGGCAAAAGCTTTGCTCCCAGTGTGGCGTTATTTCTTTACCCCTAGCCCGCATCTCCATTCAACGTATTCAAGGCAGTTATGTAAAGCCAATACTAACCAAATACATACTTGTAACTTGCAACTCACTATACAACTACAACATAATATAAATAACAGCAACCACGCCTTTTTTAGGACTATCTACAGTGCCCAAAACAATATTCATCAGAATCTTTAATACACAGAAAATTGGCAGAAACTTCTTCTGTTTCATGTATCTCTTTAGTGTCGTTATATTGTACTTAAAATGGTGTCTTCCTTCTACAATATTAATCTTATCAAATTCATGACTAAGAGGCAGCCTAGGACATTCTTTAAAAAGGAAAACCACTTACCAAAAAGACAAGACAATGACCATACACATGTAACAGTGTCATTACAAAGTTTCTTTCCTACCCTCCTTTTTCCCTTTGTTTCATTTTGGTTTAGATTCCATTTTATACTTGCTACATTATATGCTGCTTTAAAATCCTTATGCAGAGCACAAGGGACTATGGTGACAGTTCACCTGGTAGTGGGAGATTTATGGGGACTACACCTGAGGGGAGAAATCAAATACTGTACAAAAATGAACAATGGTTTAAGAAAATTAAAAAGTTTAAATAAATAAATTAAATTAAATCATTATGCAGCATAGTGAAACATAAATAACTGAATAACAAGATCTCATAAGGCTTTGATTTTTCTCTTTTAAAAATAATATTTTCTCATTTTAAATCGGTTACATTTTTACCCTAAAAAAACATCAATTATAGATGAGAAAATAAAAACCAACAATTAGCCCATCATCCAGAGCTAACCATTATCCATACAAAAGTGTGTCTCCTGTTCCCTTTCTTTTTATAGATGTGCTTGTAAACACAGACACAGAGGGATTTTTCTTACTTTTGTAATTCTCCCATTACATTATTTCATGAATATTTCATTTTACCTTGATTTAAAAAATCCCTATATTTATTTAACACTTATCAGCTTTTATATTTTATTTGATCTTCACTACAACCCTGTTGAGCAGAGATGGAAAGGAAGTCACAAAGGCTCATGGAGGTATAGTTGGTGGCCTAAGGGTGTACATTTAAGAAGTGGCAGAGCCAAGATGAAAGCCTGTGCTCCTAACCAACATGATGTCCAGAGATGAAGCTCCCAAGGGACTCTGTCCATGGCATGGACAGTGGTTCTTACTGGAGCCAGAGGGACCACCAGTTTGATCTGGGATGATCAGAGAAGACCTCACTGGGCAGTGGTACTAGATCTGGCCGTGGAGGGAGGCCAGCATTCAAACAGGTAGAGAAGACAGCAAAGAAAGGTTCCAGAAGCACAGATAAAGATCTGGCAATTCGCAAGGCAGCACTTCGCTGTGACCATGAATTGTTCAATTAGGCCAAATTGGATAGAGTGGAAGTACTGGCAGAAAGGCAACAGTGAAGGTCAGTTGTCCCTTCCCAGGGATTATATGTGGGGTGGGGCTAGTTTGTGGGAGCTTTATGCTATTTCAAGGTCTGTCTGGATTGACCTGGTTACACAGTAGCTTCACAAAGCTTAACCAGACAAGTGAGCAATGCAGCACCACCCATTCTATACTTGAGGTTGTAAGTGGCAGTGCCAGGACTTAAACTCAAGTATTCTATTACGAGGCCTGATGTGCTTTCCAGTACACCATGGGATTAGACAAATTCAAAATTGACATTGTGGAGTCAATCTCCTTAGAAGGGTCAGATAGGTTTTTCTCAATATGCCCAGAGTAGGCCTCTTGCAATAAGTGTCACCTAGGTATGATAGAACTAAAGGTCAGTAGAGGCCTTGTGAGCCCAGGGTAGTCTATTACCATTCCTTAAAGAATGCAGATTATTTTAAGCAGTGAAGGCCCTAGAGACTAAGAACCTTTGTCCTTGTCTCTGTTGTTTGCCTTTCTTCTAATCAAAGAAGCAAGGACTGTTCCTTCCCTTTTATAACCCAGAAGAATGTAGTTAGAGGGTATCACCCACATGTAGGTTTCTCTATCTGAAAAGATAAACCCCTCCTTGTCTGTCATATGACATCTCCCTCACTTCTTTCTCCTTGATGCTGTAGATTCCTAAAAATAAGACAAATATCCCCAGTTTGACCCATTATTCTTTAGAATTTATAGCCATATAAAGTCTCCATATGTATGTTACTGTGGATTTTTTTCCTTTGCTAACCCATATGATGCTGTTTTGATTGCTCATCCAACCCAAGAAGTACTTGGAGGGGTGGGGGATTTTCTCCTGTGCTCCAACAACAGCTACCACGTTCTCTTAGTTTTTTTTTTAATCAGACATGTTTTCTACAAAGGTTCTACTTACAACTCACAGTGGCTTTGTGCAATTATGACATAAATCAGTCTGCATAAAAATGAAACCAGAGAGAGATACCAGCAAGATGTGGTCACCATTCAAAAGCATGGCCAAAGGGAAGGGTAAACAGTAAAGGAGACTCAGCCAAGAAGCAGGAGAGGAAAGGAAAGGCCACAGGAATGGGTGATTATAATGGAAACAAAATGTTAGCTATGTAGAGTAGAACAGAGAAACATGAACTGAAAACGAAGAAGTGGCTATCTTGAGAATCTTGAGTAGCTGGACGTGATCCCAAAAATTCTGATGTTTTGATAAGATCAATAAAATTGTTACTCACTCATATATGGAATACAGAGAAACGAAACAAAGGACCTGATAAAAATCAAACCATTACAAACTCTAGAAAAATTACTGCAGAATTGAGGCTATGGGGGGGGCAATGGTAACAGTAAAGGACTATGGGTGCTTTGGTGGTGGGTGTGGTGTGGTGACATACCTCTGAGGAGATGTGAACTTATTCATATACAGTGTTAAAAACCAATGTTACCTCAATAAAATAAATAATAGATAAATTAAAAAAATTGTCAAACCTCTAGCAAGGCTGACAGAGTGAAAAAGAGGGAAGACACAGATTACCGGCAGCAGGCATGAAATGGGCTATCACTACAGACCCTGGAGATATCAAAAAGATAATAAAAGAATAAATTTGAACAACTCTACACACTAAGTTTGATAATTAGATGTGAAAGAAACCAATTCCCCAGAAAATAAAAACTATTACCACTCACCCAATATAAAAGTCCATTTATATAATCTTATAATTACTAAGAAATTGAATTTGTAAACTTAAGACTCTGGAAAAAGAAATCTTCTAGCCCATATTGTTTAACTGAAGGAGTCTATCAAATATTTAAAGAAGCACCACCAATTCTTCACAATCTCTTATAGGAAATATAAGAGGAAGGATCACTTTTCAGCTCATCTTATTTAGTCGCTATTATATTGACACACAAACCAGACAAAGACAATACAAAGAAAGAAAATTGCAGACAATACTTTTCATGATTACTCATGAAAAAACTTTTACAAAATATTAGCAGGCAGAATTCAAAAAGAGTGTAAAAAAATTGTACGCTAAGGAATTCATTCCAGGGATGCAAGGTGAGTAAACTATTCAAAAATCATCAATTAACCTATGCGATTCAGAGTCTAAAAAGAAAAAGAACCATATGGTAATAGCGATTAGTGCAGAACAAGCACTTGATAAAATTCAACACCCATTTAAGAAACAAAAAAACTCAGAGGAAAAATAAAAATAGAGGACTTCATCACAATAAAAAAACATCTTCAGGGCCTCCCTGGTGGCACAAGGGGTTAAGATGCAACCTATGAAGCCATCGCAGCCACTGCAGCACAAGTTTGATCCCCAGCCAGGAGCTACCACATGGCGCAGCAGACCTCTCCTGTCTGGCCTGCTGCTCCCCGCAGCAGTGTATTT